TGCAGTGACCCTCAAAACTACCTGAATTTGAGATCGTTCACGAGTGTCGTACTCAGGAATACCAATCGCGTTCGCTTTTCCCCGAACAGGCTCTGTAGAAGCATTAAAGGAATACAAGCTCAATCGCAAAATGAAAAAGGGGCCAAAACTCAACAATAAATACGAATATGCAATATACCGAACCAGATAATTATTTTATACTTACTGGCAAAGTTAATTTATTGGTGTGTTTTCCCATATGCCTTCATGATGATCGTTTCTTGCAGCACATACATCATCACGTTCAACTTCTTCATTTTCAACAGTTATCCTTGATCTGGTGGAAGGAAATTCAGAAACATCAATAGTCAAGTCATTCTTATCATCATCTGATACTTGTCTTTTCCCATGGAGGACAACTGAACAATTTTCGTTGCTCGGGTCAATGACATAAAACACTTGCTTTGCTTGACTTGCCATGATAAATGGTTCATTCTTGTATCCAACTTTACGAAAATCGACTAAAGTAAATCCTAACTCATCAACTTTCACACCATTATTACTATCCACCCATTTACATTTGAAAACAGGCACAGTAAACTTAACGTAGTTAAGCTCCCATATCTCTTCAATAATCCCAAAATAAGAGCTAGAGGCACATAACGGGTTTTTGTCTTTTGCACTTGAGAAATGCATTGATTCCGCTTCAACTGAAACCCCACTATTTTGCATAGTGCTCTTTTCATCTCGTTCTTTCGTGTAGAATGAATACCCATTTATGTCGTAACCACGCCAAGATATGATATCAAAATTAGGTCCAGCCGCTAACCAGGAGACTGTATTTGAAGCGGATGGGCAATTAGCAACTTCATTCTTAAACCACGATATGAAGGTCTTGTTATGCTCGTTCACTAACCATCGTTCTGCTTTTCGAGGATTTTTCTCCTTTATGAGTCTCCTATGCGTATCCAAATAAGGTTGAACTTCAGGAGTATTGGTTAGAATATATAGATGTGCCTGTAACAACTCTTCACGATCAACACTCTTCATTCGTCCCCCAAGTGTCCCTTTTCCAGGAGATCTACCTACATGGCGAGACTTTGGAAGACCAACTGATTTAGCCCGTGATAGATACTCAGTACAAAATTCAACCGCTTCTTCTGCAACATATCTTTCAACAATAGACGCCTCCGGTCGATGAGGGTTCTTCACATAACCCTTTAAAATTTTCATATACCACTCAAATGGATACATCCATCGCAAATGCACAGGGCCACATAACCGAATCTCCCTCACTAGGTGAATGATTAGATGTACCATAATGTCAAAGAATGCAGGTGGAAAATACATCTCGAGTTGACACAAGATAACTACAGCATCACTCTCTAAATCATCCAATAGTAGAGGGTCAATGGTCTTAGAACAGATGGCAGTGAAGAAGAAACACAACTTACTGATCGTGCATCTCACTTTCTTCGGTAATATACCTCGAATGGCCACAGGTAATAATTGCTGGAACAATACATGATGGTCATGGGACTTTAACCCCACCAACTTCAACTCTTTTATGGATACGAGTCGCTTAATATTAGAAGAATACCCATGGGGAACTTTTATTCCGTGTAAGCACTCACAAAAACTTCGTTTTTCATTTTTGGATAGTGTGTGACAGGCCGGCAGCAAATAAGTCCTCCTACCTTGAGGTATTGGTGCCAATTCCTCTCTTATGCCCATAGCAACCATATCCTTACGCGCATTTAGAGTATCTTTTGTCTTCCCTTGTATATTGAGAAGAGTGCCAATAAGACTATCACACACATTTTTCTCAACATGCATCACATCAATGCAATGTCGGACTTGAAGCTCGTGCCAGTATGGAAGCTCAAAAAAGATAGATCGTTTTTTCCATAAGCTTTTCTGAGTTGCCTGTTGTGTCTTACCAAATTTCACATTCATATTTTTTACTCGATCGAAAGCATCTTTAGTAGTTAAGACATCTGGAGCCTTCTCGTACTCCTGCTCACCGTTGAAAGCTTTTTTCAATCTACGATACGGATGGTCTGGTTTTAGAAACTTTCGACTTCCAAGGTAGACTGTCTTTCTTCCATGTTCAAGTTGATGGTAGCACGTGTTTTCTTCACATATAGGGCATGCTTTATGCCCCTTAACGCTATAGCCAGACAAGTTTTCGTAAGCTGGGAAATCATTTATTGTACAAAAGATCATCGCACGCATTTTAAATGTT